CACACACACACACACACACACACACACACACACACGCATACTTTCCCCCTGCCCCCCAACCACAGACAAATGGAATAATACAGCACGTACACACACACCAAAGACAAACGGAGTAACTCCACATACGCACACATAATGCTGATAACCTTTGCCACAGCTGACAACAATATGTTCGGCAAAGAAAGGAAAGTAACTGTGCATGATCGGCATACAAAGCTCCACTTACCAATCTCCTCCCTGAAAGCATCCTCTATCACCCTCGCTGGAAGTACATTTCCTCCATCCACAATAACCCCTCTCATTTGTTGATTAGGCTCCACCTGGCATCCACATTCACCAAGGGCATGGACAAACAGACAACCAACCAATAAATAAAGGAAGGATTAAACAAAGCACGTAACCTCCTAGCTGAGACACAGACCAGTGATGCAGTCTGATCAGGTCGCACTCTTCACCAAACCGGAGGGACAAAAATAGAAAAGAGCAGTAAAGAAAAAAAAAGAAAAAAAACAGCATTTCAGCTCGGCCACCAGAGTGGCCCAGGATCACTTGCCCAGCCGGGCAAAAAGCAATAAAAAAACAAAAAATAATTCATTTATTTATTTTGGTGGAGAATTTCGATGTGACCCTGAGGCAAAACCTGTTCAGTTTATTTTTCTGCATAACATAAGTCTTTTTCAGATCTTTTGGCTTTTTATTTTTTTTTGCTGGGACCTTCGTTTTAGTCCTTGCACGGCGGGGCCGCACGGCTGGTAGCCTAGCATTTCAGCAAAATAGACACAAGCCAAGCTGCATCCTTCCACCCCATGCAAGTTGTCCTCCTCCGCTATTTAATATTTACCTATGCCTAAAGCACACGGCCACTTCTCTATATGCACTCCGAAAATAGGTACACAAATACCTGTCCGGACGGAATCAAACTCAACAGTACAAAAACTTTGTCTGCTCACAACAGTTTCATTTTCCAGCACTCCCAATAACACCCAGCCCAATAACAGGGCCGTGTTTGTGCTCCCCGCCAAATGTGCAAAAGGCAAGTGCATGTTGCAGGAGAACAAGGCCAGATACACCCACCAATTTCATAATCAACAACTGGTGGATGGAAAAAGGCCCTCACTGCCACATACTGACAAGCAAGAGCACGAATCAATTAATCATTACTACCTACGGTCAGACACAACAAATCCCCCTGTAGGTGCACCCTCGCGATTGCGGTGCTCCTTCCGCGATTTCCTAAGCAGAAGACATGACTCTTAAAGCCGAGTTCGCGCCGACATTCAGCGAAAATACAGCTATAACGACCAAGCCTTACTATTTTGAGGAAGGCAGTAGCTACCGCACAGAATGAGACCCCAGTGGGTGCCAGAGTCTGACCGATTCATTACTTGAAGCCTGACTATGGGTGAGATGGGACTTTCCGATTCCTAGAAGAACCCCATAGTCCAAAATTTAATACCATGAGTAAAATGAGGTAATCAATACTAAAAAGTATTAACTAATTGTACCATGAAATTCGAGGACACACACGGAAATTTGTCCAAACATTGTCTCTCCTTGACAGCAACAAAGGGAAAGAAAAAGAGATCCTTTGGGCATATTCCAACTTCCAAATGTCACATTCCTCCTAAGATCTTTTTTTTCTTTTTCTTTTCCCCATTCCATTGGCAAATGCAACCCTGGGAATAAAATGCTCACGATATACATTATCTCACAGACCTACCTCTCTTTTTTTTTTCCTTTTTGTTCTTTTTCACAGACCTATCTTCCCTGTTTCTTGAACTTTGTTTCTTTTTTCGCTGTCCATCCTCCGCTGCATATAAAAGATTGGGAGGAGGGGCGATAACATGCCCAAAAGTTTTCACTTTTCTTTTCCGTGTGTGCGTCTCCAGAGGTTATCTTCCCCTGCTCTTATTCACATCATCCCACAGCCTACTGCATATTTGAAAAGAGAAAAAGGGAAAACCAAAAAAAAAACGGAAAAACGAGAACAAAAAGTCGGCGCACATCTGCACGAGCACCCGAGAAGAGAATGCATTTATGCATGGGTTTGGCTCAAACTTCAACGAGCACAACAGCGTATGACAATCCTGAGGAAATGCGTAAAAATCTACCGACCCTGGTCTCCTGAGCCTGAAAACTCAGGCTAACATATGCATTCAGTTTGGAGCGAATATTTTTCCATGTGCAATGCCCTTTCTTTCATGATATTTTTCCTCGATGCGGCTGAATCTACCCTGCATTGCTGATTCCGTTTTGGATTTCTTCGTCAAGGACATGCGAATCAGAAGATTCAGAACTCACCAAAGTCAGGGTGCTCGCAATTTTGCTCCCCCCCCTCCTCCTTTCTTTCCTCCGATAGGCTGAGCCTTCTATGGTCTGCTTGTACACAGCTACATTCTTTTAAGGACCTCCACCCCCAGTACTACGGGTGCTTTAATTTAATTGAGAGCGTACTCACACCAGGGCTAATGCCAAATTTGGTCATAAATGCGGTCAGATGCATCCACGAAAATATAAATGCGGTCAGATGCATCCACGAAAATACAAGTCGGAGTGGTATTTCTTTCCCTCCGATAGGCTGAGCCTTCTACAGTCTGCTTGTATACAACTGCATTCTTTAAAGGACCTCCAACCCCCGTACTGGTGAGAGCGTACTCACACCAGGGCTAATGCCATATGCGGTCAGATGCATCCATGAAAGTACAAGTCTGCGTGATATTTATTTCCCAGAACTTGAACATCATGTGCAGGAACGCTCCTGCACATTCGGAGCGTTCCTGCACATGACGTTCAAGTTCTGTGAAATAAATATCACTCAGACTTGTACTTGCATGGATGCATCTGACCGCATTTATGACCAAATTTGGCATTAGCCCCGGTGTGAGTACACTCTCAATTAAATTAAAGCACCAGTACGAGGGGTGGAGGTCCTATAAAGAATGTAGTTGTATACAAGCAGACTGTAGAAGGCTCAGCCTTTCCCACAATTCTTTCACGATTAGTGTTTCACTCAGTTCCGAGAAGTAGGACATGCTTGAGCACTAAAGCTGTTTTCACCGCTCCGAATTATGCTGCACGCCCCACAAAAAAAAAGCCGGAGTGTGCAAGATTTCTCTTTTTCTAGTTGGGGGCGCCAGCCATTTCGGCCCTGTAGCCCCGAGTCCCCAAAAACTGAGTTCCGAGAGGCAGGACATGCTTGAGGACTGAGGCTGTTTTCACCACTCCGAAGTAATGCTGTAGGCCAAAAAAAAAACAAAAAACAAAAAAAAAAACGGAGTGGGCAAAATTTTGCTTCTTCTGGTTGGTGGCACCAGCAATTTCGGTCCCGTAGCCCCGAGTCCCCAAATGTTTCAGATGTATGCAAACTCGCTCTTTTTTTTTTTGCCTGGAGCACTTAGTTGTAATTTAAGAGCATACTCGCACCAGGACTTGACTCACAGAATCTGGTCACAAATGCCGTCAGATACATCCCTGAAATCACAAGTCCGAGTAGTATCGTGTCCTTAAAGTCTCCTTTATCTTCAGCAGCTGTCATAGTATCGTGTCCTTAAAGTCTCCTTTATCTTCAGCAGCTGTCATACGGGTGTTCGGGGTCCCGTTCGGGGTCCGAAGCCGAAGGCATTCGGCCCCCACCAAAAAATATTTTGGAGCCTAAAAATAAGTTCTTTTCTGAAATTTTTTTTTGTGAGATCTCTATGATGTGAGGTACATGCCGATAAATTTTGACGTCATTTGGCTAAGCCAAACAAAAATTAAAAATCGCCAAAGATGGCGGTGTCAAAACGTGCTCGCCCACTCACTATTTTGATTTTTTTCACTTTCTACTTTTTGTTTTCACTTTATTGCGGGGCCTACACAATTTTATTACTATTTTTTCATTATTTTAACGAGTTTACTATGAGAAGTACACATCTGTAAATTTTCAGGGCATTTGGCTGTGCCAAAACAAAATGAAAAATCGCCAAAAATGACGGTGTCGAAAACGTGCTCGCTCACTCACTAATTTTATTTCATTTTCACTTTCTCTTTTCATTTTTTCTTCTTTTATTGTTTATTTCCTGTAATTTATTTTTATTCCAAATATGGTAAGGAATTCGGATGTAACGCTCAGGCAAATGTTGTTTATTTTATTTTTCTTCATAACATTTTTTTTT